GCAGCTTTTCCCAAAGTTTGGGAGAGATTTTGGGGAATTTTTCCCAAAGTTTGGGGGATTTTGGGATCCTTTTCCCAGAATTTGGGGGGTTTTGGAGCCATTTTCTGAATTTTGGGGGGGATTTTGGGATTGTTTCCCCAAAGTTTGGGGGATTTTGGGAGTTATTTCCCAAAGCTTGAGGGATTTTTGGGATCATTTGTCAAAGTTTTGAGGGGTTTTGGGATTCTTTCCCAAAGTTTGGGATGGTTTTGGGAAATTTTGTCCTAAAGTTTGGGGGATTTTGAGATCCTTTCCCCAAGTTTTGGGGGATTTTTGGGATCATTTTATGAAATTTGGGGGGTTTTGGGGATCTTTTCCCAATATTTTTGGGATTTGGGGGTCGTTTCCCAAAGTTTGGGGGGATTTTTGGGATAATTTCTCAGAGTTTTGGGAATCATTTCCCAAAGTTTTGAGGGATTTGGGGGATCATTTCTTTAAGTTTGGGGGATTTTGGAGACTTTTCCCCAAAGTTTAGAATGGTTTGGGGATAATTCCACGAAGTTTTGTGGGATTTTAGGATTCTTTCCCAAAGTTTGGGGGATTTTGGGGATCATTTTATGAAGTTTGGGATGGTTTTGGGGATCCTTTCCCAAAGTTTGGGGTGGTTTGAGCATCACTTGTTGAATTTTGGGGCTGTTTGGGGATTTTTTGTCACAGTTCTGGGGTTTTGAGCTTCATCTGTCAAATTTTGGGGTTATTTGAGGAACATGCCCAAAATCTGGGGTTATTTGAGGATCAGTTCCCAAAATTTGGGGTTATTTGAGGAACATTTCCCAACATTTTGGGGTTATTTAAGGGTCAATTCCCAAAATCTGGGATTATTTGAGGATTTTTCCCCAAAATTTTGGTGTGGCTTGATCATCACTGGTGGGATTTTGGGGTAGTTTGAGGATCTTTTGTCAAAGTTTTGGGGTTTTGAGCTTCAACTGTCAAATTTTGGGCTGGTTTGGGCTTTGTTTCCTGAAGTTTTGGGGTGCTTTGAGCATCCCCTGTTGAATTTTGGGGTGCTTTGAACATCACAAGTTGAATTTTGGGGTGCTTTGAGCATCCCCTGTTGAATTTTGGGCTGTTTGAGCATCCCCTGTTGAATTTTGGGGCTGTTTGAGCATCCCCTGTTGAATTTTGGGGTGCTTTGAGCATCCCCTGTTGAATTTTGGGGCTGTTTGAGCATCCCCTGTTGAATTTTGGGGTGCTTTGAGCATCCCCTGTTGAATTTTGGGGTGCTTTGAGCATCCCCTGTTGAATTTTGGGGCTGTTTGAGCATCCCCTGTTGAATTTTGGGGTGCTTTGAGCATCCCCTGTTGAATTTTGGGGCTGTTGGAGGAGCTTTAGTGAAAATTTTGGGATTTTTGAGCCTCATTTCCCAAATTTTGGGGATGTTTGGGCATCACTTGTTCCAAAGTTTTGGGGTTTTTGCATCTCTGGTCAAAATTTTGGGGTTTTGAGCTTCATCTGTCAAATTTTGGGGTGCTTGGAGCTTCGTTTCCCAAACTTTTGGGGGTGTTTGAGCATCACTTGTGGAATTTTGGGGCTGTTTGGGGATTTTCTGTGCAAGTTTTGGGATTTTTGAGCCTCAGTTCCCAAAATTTGGGGTTATTTGATGATCATTTCCCAAAATTTGGGGTCATTTGAGGATCATTTCCCAAAATTTGGGGTCATTTGAGGATCAGTTCCCAAAATTTGGGGTCATTTGAGGATCAGTTCCCAAAATTTTGGGGTCATTTAAGGATAATTTCCAAAATTTTTCAGTCATTTAAAGGTCGCTTTCCAAAGTTTTGGGATTATTTAAGGGTCAGTTCCCAAATGTTTGGGTTTTTAAAGGATAATTTCCAAAATTTTGGGGTAATTTAAGAATCAATTCCCAAATTTTTGGGTTTCTTAAGGATCAGTTCCCAAATTTTGGGTTTTTTTAAAGATAATTCCCAAAATTTTGGGGTTATTTGAGGATAATTCCCAAAATTTTTGTGTTATTTAAGGATAATTCCCAAAATTTTTGGGTTATTTAAGGATAATCTCCAAAATTTCGGGGTCATTTGAGGATCATTCCCAAAGTTTTGGGATTATTTAAGGATCAATTCCCAAATTTTGGGGTCTTTTAAGGATCAGTTCCCAAAATTTGGAATTTTTTAAGGATCAGTTTCCAAAATTTTGGCGTCATTGAAGGAAAATTTCCCAAATTTTTGGAGTTTGTTTTAAGATCAATCCCAAAATTTGAGGATCATTCCCAAGGTTTTGGGGTTATTTAAGGAACTGGAGGAAAAATTGGAATTTTCATCCCAAATTTCCTGGAATGAGAATATTTGGGATTTTCTGGGAATTCTGTGCTCCTAAAATTGTAAAAAACCTGGGAATTTTTATCCCAAATTTCCTGGGATTGAAATATTTGGGATTTTCCTTTAGGAATGCCCCTGGAACTGAAGGAAAAATGGGAATTTTCATCCCAAATTCTGGGATATGGTGAAGATTTTGGAGAATTCCAAGGGAAAATTCCTGGATTTGGGAGAATTTAGGAGAATTTGGGATTTCTGGGATTCAGATTTGGGGAATTCTCCCTTTTTTTGCCATCCCTGGCTTGGATTTGGGCTGGAATTTGGAATTTTGAGGCCTGGATTGGGAATTTTTTGGCTTCCACCCAGCACTGAACGTTAATTAAGCCCAGTTTTAATTACTCGGGGCTGACAACCCCGCCCTGAGTAAGGAGTTAGTAAGGCTTTGGACCACTTAAACCCAGCACTAAATAAATGTTAATTAAGCTCAGTTTTAATTAGTCAGGGGTTACAGAGATTTGAGTAAGGCTCTGGACCACTTAAACCCAGAACTAAAATGTTAATTAAGCCCAGTTTTAATTGCTGAGGGGTGACGGAGGTCTGAGTAAGGCTCTGGATCACTTAAACCCAGCCTAAAAGCCAATTAAACCCAGGTTTAATGACACAGCCCTGAGTAAGGAGTGAGTAAGGCTTTGGACCACTTAAACCCAGCACTAAAATGTTAATTAAGCCCAGTTTTAATTAGTCAGGGGTGACAGAGGTCTGAGTAAGGCTCTGAACCACTTAAACCCAGCCTAAAAGCCAATTAAACCTGGGTTTAATGACCCAGCCCTGAGTAAGGAGTGAGTAAGGCTTTGGACCACTTAAACCCAGCACTAAATGCTAATTAAGCTCAGTTTTAATTAGTCAGGAGTGCAGTTGGGCTGACCCTGGGGGGATTTGGGGTTCCTTCATTTTCTGGGGGTTTAAATCGCATTTTTGGGGCATTTTTGGGGAGATTTTGGGGCTGGAATTTGGAATTTTGGGGCTGAAATTCGGAATTTTGGGCTGGAATTGCGAATTTTGGGGCTGAAATTTAAAATTTTGAGACCAGAATTTGGAATTTTGGGGGTGAAGTTGGGAATTTTGAGGCCAGAAGTGGGAATTTTAGGGACAGAATTGGCAATTTTGGGGCTGGAATTCAGAATTCTTGGGCCTGGGTTGGGAATTTTGTGGCTGGAATTGGGAATTTGGAGCTGGAAATGGGAATTTTTTGGCTGAAATTGAGAATTTTGGGGCCAGAATTGGGAATTTTGGGGTTTGAATTGGGAATTTTGAGGCCAAAATTGGGAAGTTCGGGTATGGATTGGGAATTTTGAGGCTGGAAATGGGAATATTTTGGCTGAAATTGGGAATTTTGAGACCAGAATTAGGAATTTTGGAGCTGAAATTCAGAATTTTGGGGCTGGAATTGAGGATTTTAGGGTTTAAGTTTCCAATTTTGGAGCTGGATTGGGATTTTGAGGTTGGAAATGGGAATATTTTGGCTGGAATTCAGGATTTTGGGGCTGGAATTGGGAATTTTGGGGCTGAAATTGGGAATTTTGAGGTCTGAATTGGGAATTTTGGAGCTGGAATTCAGAATTTTTGGGCCAGAAATCAGAATTTTGAGGTTTGAATTGGGAATTTTGAGGCTGAGAAGTGGAATTTTGGGGCTGGAATTGGGAATTTTGAGTCCAGAATTGGGAATTTTGGGCAGAAATCAGGAATTTTGAGGCCTGGATTAGGAATTTTGAGGCTGGAATTGGGAATTTTGGGGCTAAAATTGGGAATTTTGGACTAAAATTGAGGATTTGAAGCCAAAATTGGGAATTTGGGGCTGGAAGTTTGAATTTTAGGGCCAGAAATTGGAATTTTGAGGCTGCAATTGGGAATTTTAGGAGCAGAAATTGGAATGTTAGGGCTAAAATTGGGATTTTTGGGGTAGAATTGGGAATTTTGGGGCTGGAATCAGCAATTGATGGAAATTCTCTTTTTTTCCAGAGCTTTTTCCAGCGTGAGGTGGAAGATGAAGGTCAGAGGCTGAGGGAGCCACGCCTGGAAAATTCCGGTAAATTCAGCTTTTCCTGCTCCCCTGGGGGGAAAGAGCAAAAAAACCCAGAAAAATCCAATTTTTGGTGCCAAAATCTCATTTTTCTGTAGGATTCGCTCCTGTTTTGGGGATTTGGGGGCTGCAAAAATGGGAAAACCCCAAATTTTGGTGCCAAAATCTCTTTTTTCTGTAGGATTTGTTCCTTTTTTGGGGATTTGGGGGCTGCAAAAATGGGAAAACCCCAAATTTTGGTGCCAAAATCTCTTTTTTCTGTAGGATTTGTTCCTTTTTTGGGGATTTGGGGGCTGCAAAAATGGGAAAACCCCAAATTTTGGTGCCAAAATCTCTTTTTTCTGTAGGATTTGTTCCTTTTTTGGGGATTTGGGGGCTGCAAAAATGGGAAAACCCCAAATTTTGGTGCCAAAATCTCTTTTTTCTGTAACAGGAAAAAAACCCAGAAAAATTCAAATTTTGGTGCCCAAACCTGATTTTTCCATGGGATTCTTCCCGTTTTTGAGGATCCCACTAAACCCAGGGTGGATTTCCAGGATTTTGGGTGGAATTCCCAACATTCCCAAAGTTTTTTCCCCCCTCAGATTTTTTGTCTGGAGCAGAAATCTCTCCTTGATGGAGAAGCCGAGCGAGCTCTGACTCCGCGGCGGTTTCGGGAGAAATTCCATGGCAATGTATCCTACAAGGTACCTGGCAAATCCCAAAAATCCCTTCTCCCAAATTCCTGCCTCTTCTCCCCAAATTTCTGTGCTTTTCCCCCAGATTTCTGCTCCTTTTTCCAATTTTCTGCCTTTTTTTCACCACCAGTTTCAGGGTGCTCCCAACCCCCTTGGTGCCACCTCAGGCTGGTCCCAACCCCCTTGGTGCCACCTCAGGGTGGTCCCAAACCCCTTGGTGCCACCTCAGGGTGGTCCCAAACCCCTTGGTGCCACCTCATGTCCCTCAGGGTGATCCCAAATCCATCTCGGGTCTGTCAGGGTGGTCCAAACCCCGTTGGTGCCACCCCAGGGAGATCCCAACCCCCTTGATGCCACCTCAGGTCCCTGACGGTGGTCCCAACCCCCTTGGTGCCACCTCAGGATGATTCCAAACCCCTTGGTGCCACCTCACATCCCTCAGGGTGATCCCAAATCCACCTCAGGATGATTCCAAGCCCCAAAGCCACCTCAGTTCCCTCAGGGTGATCCCAACCCCCTTGGTGCCACCTCAGGATGATCCCAAATCCACCTCAGGCAGCTCCTAACCCCCTTTGGTGCCACCTCAGGATGATCCCAACCCCCTTGGTGCCACCCCACGTCCCTCAGGGTGATCCCAAATCCATCTCAGGTCTGTCAGGGTGGTCCAAACCCCCTTGGTGCCACCCCAGGGAGATCCCAACCCTCTTGGTGCCACCTCACGTCCCTCAGGGTGATCCCAAATCCACCTCAGGCTAGTCCCAACCCCCTTGGTGCCACCTCAGGGAGATCCCAAATCCATCTCAGGGTCTTCCCAACCCCCTTGGTGCCACCTCACGGTGATCCCAACCCCCTTGGTGCCACCTCAGGGTGGTCCCAACCCCCTTGGTGCCACCTCAGGGTGGTCCCACCCCCCAGATCCTCGCTCAAGCCCCTCCCGCCCGCGCGCAGGGTCTCCGGTGAGGAATGCAACGGCATCAACGCCATGGCGGCCGAGAGCGGCCCCGGCACGCGCCTGCGGAACCTGCCGGTGCTGCCGGACGCGCTGGACTCCACGCAGCCGTCGGCGGCCCCGGCGCCCGGCCAGGCCCAGCCCGGGGGCGGCATCGGGGTCAATCCGCCGCCGCCGGAGACGTCCAATCCCAACAAACCCAAGCGCCAAACCAACCAGCTGCAGTATCTGCTCAAGGTGGTCCTCAAGACCCTCTGGAAGCATCAGTTCGCGTGGCCCTTCCAGCAGCCCGTGGACGCCGTCAAGCTCAACCTCCCGGTGAGTTTGGAGAAGGGTGGGGCTCTCCAGGAGTTGGGGAGTGGTGGGGTTCTTTGGGAATGTTGGGGCTCTCCAGGAACTGGGGAATGTTGGGGTTCTCCAGGAGTTGGGGAAGGTTGGGGTTCTCCAGGAGTTGGGGAATGGTTGGGGTTCTTTGGGAATGTTGGGGCTCTCCAGGAGTTGGGAATTGTTGGAGTTCTCCGGGAGTTGGGGAATGTTGGAGTTCTCCGGGAGTTGGGGAAGGTTGGGGTTCTCCAGGAGTTGGGGAATGATTGGGGTTCTTTGGGAATGTTGGGGTTCTCCAGGAGTTGGGGAAGGTTGGGGTTCTCCAGGAGTTGGGGAATGGTTGGGGTTCTTTGGGAATGTTGGGGTTCTCCAGGAGTTGGGGAAGGTTGGGGTTCTCCAGGAGTTGGGGAATGATTGGGGTTCTTTGGGAATGTTGGGGCTCTCCTGGAGTTGGGGAATGTTGGGGTTCTCTGGGTGACAGGGAAGGCTGGGGTTCTCTGGGAATCGTGGGAAGCGGGGTTGAGCTGGTGGTTGGACTTGAATTGGTGGTTGGATGAGATGATCCAAGAGTTGGACTTGAACCAGTGGTTGGATTTGATGATCCAGAGTTGGACTTGATCTGAAACTGGGTTGGATAATCCAGAGCTGGACTTGAGGATCCAAAGCTGGGTTCAGTGATCCAAAGTTAGACTTGATCCGGTGTTTGGACTCCATGATCCAGTGGAGTTGATGATCCCATGGTTGGATTGGATGATCCAGTGGATGAGTTGATGATCCAGTGGTTGAGTTGATGCTCCAGTGGTTGGAGTTGATCCAGTGGTTGAGTTGATGCTCCAATGGTTGGATTGATGATCCAGTGTTGAGTTGATCCAGTGGTTGAGTTGATGGTCCCATGTTGATGGTCTGATGTTGAGTTGATGGTCCCATGTTGAGTTGATCCAGTGGTTGAGTTGATGCTCCAATGGTTGGGTTGATGATCCAATGGTTGGGTTGATGATCCAATGTTGAGTTGATCCAGTGGTGGAGTTGATGGTCCCATGTTGAGTTGATCCAGTGGTGGAGTTGATGCTCCAATGGTTGGGTTGATGATCCAATGTTGAGTTGATCCAGTGGTTGAGTTGATGGTCCCATGGTTGGATTGGATGATCCAATGGTTGGATTGGATGATCCAGTGGATGAGTTGATGGTCCAATGGTTGGGTTGATGATCCAATGTTGAGTTGATGATCCAGTGTTGAGTTGATGGTCCCATGTTGAGTTGATGGTCCCAGGTTGAGTTCATGCTCCAGTGTTGAGTTGATCCAGTGGTTGAGTTGATGATTCCATGGTTGGAATGGATGATCTAATGGTTGGGTTGATGATCCAATGGTTGGGTTGATGCTCCAGTGGTTGGGTTGATGATCCCATGTTGAGTTGATCCAGTGGTGGAGTTGATGATCCCATGGTTGGAGTTGATGATCCAATGGTTGGGTTGATGATCCAATGGTTGGGTTGATGCTCCAATGTTGAGTTGATCCAATGGTTGGGTTGATGCTCCAATGGTTGGGTTGATGATCCCATGGTTGGGTTGATGATCCAATGGTTGGGTTGATGATTCCATGTTGGGTTGATCCAGTGGTGGAGTTGATGCCCCAGTGGTTGGAGCTGATAACCCAAAGTTGAACTTGATCAATTTTGGTGCCTTTGGGCTCAAATTCCCCAAATTCCCCTCTTTTTTCAATAAAAACCCCATTTTAGAAGAAACCCAACTTCTCCTCAATCCAGGAACAACCCACACAACCCAACCCCTCAAAATCCCAAAATTCCCTTTTTCCCAGGATTATTATAAAATAATTAAAACTCCGATGGACATGGGAACAATAAAGAAACGCTTGGAAAATAATTATTACTGGAATGCTCAAGAATGTATCCAGGATTTCAACACCATGTTTACAAACTGCTACATCTACAACAAGGTAGGAAAAGTCTGGAATTTTTTGGGAAAAATCCCAATTCCGTCAGTTCTGCCTCAGCCTCGTTCCCGTGGGATTGGTCGAGTCCCCCTGGGGAATTTTGTCCTGGTTTTTTTGTTTTAAAGGATTTTTTTGGATCAGATCCTTGGGAATTGGGCTCTGGGTTTGGCGTTTTTCAGGAATGGTGAAAGTTTGGAGTCTGCACATGGATTTTTCCTTTTTTTTGGCTTTTTAGAGGAATATTTGAAGGGATTTTTCCTTGATTTTTTTTTCCTTCCCCCCCTTTCTCCCCCTTTTTTCCCTATTTCCCATTTTTTTCCCCTTTTCCCTCTTATTTTCCCCCTTCCCCCCCTTTTTTTGCTATTTTCCACTCTTTTCCCCCCATTTTCCCCCCTTTTTTTGCTATGTTCCCCCTTTTTTCCCCATTTCCCCCTTATTTTCCTCCCCTTTTCCCTCCATTTCCCTATTTTTCTCCTCATTTCCCCCCGTTTTCCCTTTATTCCATTTCCCCCTTTTTTCTCCATTTTTCCTCTTTCCCCCCCATTTTTCTCCTTATTTCCCCCCCTTTTTCCCTCTGTTCCCCCAATTTCCCCCTTTTTTCCCTATTTTCCCTCATTTTTTCCATTTCCCCCTTTTTTCTCCATTTTTCCTCTCTTTCCCCCCCATTTTTCTCCTTATTTCCCCCCTTTTTTCCCTCTGTTCCCCCAATTTCCCCCTTTTTTCCCTATTTTCCCTCATTTTTTCCCTTTCCCATCTTCCCATCCTCAGCCTCTCCCTATAGAAACCCAGGACTCACCCCATAATCTCCAGCCCCAAATCCCTCTTGGAAAACCCCTAATTCCTGTTCCATTTTTCCCATAATTCCTGGGGGATTTTTCCCCTAATTCCTGTTTCATTTTCCCCCTAATTCCTGTTTTATTTTTCCCTAATCCCTGTGTTTTTTCCCTGTTTTATTTTTCTGTAATTTCTGGGGTTTTTCCCCCTAATTCCTGGGATTTTTTTTCCCCTAATTCCTGTTTTTTTTTCCCCATTTTGCAGCCAGAGGATGACACTGTGCTGATGGCAGAAGCTCTGGAGAAGCTTTTTCCCTAATTCCTGGGTTTTTCCCCTAATTCCTCTTTTATTTTTCCCCAATTCCTGTGGGTTTTCCCCATAATTCCTGGGGTTTTTTTCCCCCTGATTCCTGGGTTTTTTCCCTAATTTTTGGTTTTTTCCCCATTTTGCAGTCAGGGGATGACATTGTGCTGATGGCAGACGCTCTGGAGAAGCTTTTTCCCTAATTCCTGGGTTTTTTCCCCATTTTGCAGCCAGTGGATGACATTGTGCTGATGGCAGAAGCTCTGGAGAAGCTTTTTCCCTAATTCCTGGGTTTTTTCCCCTAATTCCTCTTTTATTTTTCCCCAATTCCTGGGGGTTTTCCCCCTAATTTCTGGGGCTTTTCCCCCTAATTCCTGGGTTTTTTTTCTCCTAATTCCTGTTTTTTTCCCCAATTTTCCAGCCAGGGGATGACACTGTGCTGATGTCTTTGGGAATGTTGGGGTTCTCCAGGATTTAGGGAATGGTGGGGTTCTCCAGGAACTGAGGAATGTTGGGGTTCTCTGGGAACTGGGGAAGGTTGGGATTCTTTGGGAATGTTGGGGTTCTCCAAGAGTTAGGGAATGTTGGGGTTCTCCAGGAGTTGGGGAATGGTGGGGTTCTCCAGGAACTGGGGAATGTTGGGGTTCTCTGGATGTCAAGGAAGGTTGGGGTTCTCTGGGTGTCAAGGAAGGTTGGGGTTCTCCAGGAGCTGGGGAAGGTTGGGGTTCTCTGGGAATCGTGGCAGGCGGGGTTGAGCTGGTGGTTGGACTTGAGCTGGTGGTTGGATGAGATCATCCAAGAGTTGGGTTTGAACCAGAGGTTGGATTTGATGATCCAGAGTAGGTCTTGATCCCAAATTGGATCTGATCCAAAGTTGGATTTGATCCAAAGTCGGACTTGATGCAGTGGTTGGATGGTCCAATGGTTGGGCCTGACCTCATGGTTGAATGAGTTGATCCGGTGGTGGGATTTGATGATCCAGTGATTGGTCTTGATCCAACAATTGAAGATGATGATTCAAGGGTTGGACTTGATCCTGTGGTTGAGTTGATGATCCAGTGGTGGAGTTGATGATCCTATGGTTGAGTTGATGATCCTGTGGTGGAGTTGATGATCCAATGGTGGAGTTGATGATCCAGTGGTTGGAGTTGATGATCCAATGGTTCAGTTGAGGATCCAATGGTTCAGTTGATGCTCCAGTGGTTGAGTTGATGATCCAGTGGTTGGAGTTGATGCTCCAATGGTTGGATTGGATGCTCCAATGGTTGGGTGGATGATCTTTTTTCCCTAATTCCTGGTTTTTTTCCCCATTTTGCAGCCAGGGGATGACATTGTGCTGATGGCAGAAGCTCTGGAGAAGCTTTTTCCCTAATTCCTGGGTTTTTTCCCCTAATTCCTCTTTTATTTTTCCCCAATTCCTGGGGGTTTTCCCCCTAATTCCTGGTTTTTTTCCCTAATTCCTGGTTTTTTTCCCCATTTTGCAGCCAGGGGATGACATTGTGCTGATGGCAGAAGCTCTGGAGAAGCTTTTCCCCTAATTCCTGGGTTTTTTCCCCTAATTCCTCTTTTATTTTTCCCCAATTCCTGTGGGTTTTCCCCCTAATTTCTGTGGTTTTTTTCCCCTAATTCCTGGTTTTTTTCCCTAATTCCTGGTTTTTTTCCCCATTTTGCAGCCAGGGGATGACATTGTGCTGATGGCAGAAGCTCTGGAGAAGCTTTTCCTGCAGAAGATCTCGGAGATGACGCAGGAGGAGACGGAAATCGTCATCGCCCAGACCAAGGGCCGGGGCCGCGCCCGCAAGGAACCAGGTGGGGCTCCCAAAAAATCCCAAAATTCCCCCCAAATAATCCCCAAATCCTCAAAGTTCCCCCTAAAAAAAAAAAAAAATCCCAAAGTTTCCCCCAAAAAATTCTCAAGATTTCTCAAAGAATTGCTGAAATTCCTGAAAAAAAAAATCCAAAAATTCCCCCCCCAAATAATCCCAAATCATCAAAATTCCCAAAAAAATTCCAAGAATGCCCCCCAAATAATCCCCAAATTCTCCCCCAAAATCCCCAAATCTATCAAAACTTCCCAAAAAATTGCTGAAATTCCTAAAAAAAAAATACTAAAGCTCCTTCCAAATAATCCTCAAATCTGCAAAATTACCCCCCTCAAAAAATCCCAAAATCTTCAAAATTCTCCAAGAAATTCCTGAAAAAAAAATCCCAAAATTCCCTCCAAAAATTCTCTACATTTCCTCCAAAAAAAAATCCCCAAATCCTCAAAATTCCCCCAAAAAATTCCCAGAATTTCACCCCAAAAAATCCCTAATTCTTCAAAATTTCCTCCCAAAAAATCCCCCACAAATTTCCTTTCCCCCACCTATTTTTTTCTCTTATTTTCCCCCATTTTTCCCTTATTTCCTCCCCTCTTTTCCTGGTTATTTTCCCTCATTTCTTCTCCTGTTTACCCCCTCATTTTGCTTTATTTCCCCCCCCATTTTCATGTATTTTTTCCCTCATTTTCCCCCTTATTTTTCCTTTTTTTCCCCTTTTCCCCTTATTTCCCCCCATTTTTCCCCTCTTTTCCTGTATTTCCCCATCATTTCCCCCTCATTTCCCCCATTTTTCTGTATGTTTTCTCTCATTTTTCCCCTCATTTTCCCCCATATTTTCCTATTTCCCCTCATTTTCCCCATTTTCCCTTATTTTTTTCCTATTTTCCCCCTCATATTCTCCTATTTCCTCCTATTTTCCTGTCTTTTTCCCATTTCCCCTCATTTTTCCTTATTTCCCCCTATTGTCCTGTATTTTTCCCTCATTTCCCCCATATTTTCCCACCCATTTCCCATCATTTTCCTCATTTCTCCCCCATTTCTCCCATATTTTTCCTATTTTCCTCTTTATTTTTCCTTATATTCCCCCATATTTCCCCCATTTCCCTTTATTTTCCCCTCATTTTCCCCCTTATTTTCCCCTCATTTCCCCCCCCATTTTCCCCCATTTCCCCTCATTTTCTCCCATATTTTACCCTCATTTTCCCCCCTATTTACCTTTCATTTTCTCCCTTAGTTTCCCCTATTCCCCCATATTTTTCTATATTTTTTCCTCATTTTTCCCCCTTATTTCCCCCTACTTTCCCATTTTCCCGCCTATTTCCCCTCATTTTCCCCCATATTTCCTCCTATTTTCCCCCTTATTTCCTCTCATTTTCCCCCTTATTTTCCCCCATATTTTCTCCCTTATTTTCCCTTTTTTTCCCTCAATTCCCCCATATTTACCTCTCGTTTTCCCCCTTATTTTTCTGTATTTTTTCCCTCATTTTCCCCCTTCACTTTCCCATTTTCCCGCCTATTTCCCCTCATTTTCCCCATATTTCCTCTCATTTTCCCCCTTATTTTCCCATTTCCCCCCATATTTTACCCTCATTTCCCCCCATATTAACTTTCATTTTCCCTCTTATTTTTCTGTATTTTTTCCCTCATTTCCCCCCCACACTTTCCCATTTTCCTGCCTATTTCCCCTCATTTTCCCCCATATTTCCATCATTTCCCCCTTTATTTCCTCTCATTTTCCCCCTTATTTTCCTTTTTTCTCTCATTTTTCCCCTCATTTTCCCTTTTTTTCCCTCATTTTCCCCCCATATTTTACCCTCATTTCCCCCCATATTAACTTTCATTTTCCCTCTTATTTTTCTGTATTTTTTCCCTCATTTTTCCCCTGTACTTACCCATTTTCCTGCCTATTTCTCCTCGTTTTCCCCCATATTTCCCTCATTTCCCCCTTTATTTCCTCTCATTTTCCCCCTTATTTTCCTTTTTTTCCCTCATTTTCCCCCTTATTTTCTCTCATTCCCCCTTTATTTCCTCTCATTTTCCCCCTTATTTTCCTTTTTTCCCCTCATTTTCCCCCTCATTTTCCCCTTTATTTCCTCTCATTTTCCCCCTTATTTTCCTCGCGCCCGCCGCCCTGCAGCCCCACCCGCCCGTCATCCCCACGCCCGCCCAGCCCGTCAAGGTGAGAGGCCGCTAATTAGCTTAATTAGGGGTGGGGGCGGGGGTGGTGATGGTGGTGCCGTTAATCGGTTTATTGTTATTTTTTTTGGTTGTTGTTATCATTTGTTGTTTTGTTGTTGTTGTTCCCAATGAACGCCCCCAAAAGCCAAACTCCAAACCCTGAAACCCCAACAAATGATGCCGGAGTAGAAACTCCAAAACCCAAAATCCCAGCAAACGCCCCCAAAGGCCAAACTCCAAAACCCCAACAAACGATCCCAAGGTAGAAACTCCAGAAGTCAAAACCCACTGAACAATCCCAGAGTAGAAACTCCAAAACCCCAAGGAACGATCCCAAGATAGAAACTCCAGAAGTCAAAACTCCAAAACCCCAACGAACGATCCCAAGGTAGAAACTCCAAAACCCCAAGGAACGATCCCAAGATAGAAACTCCAGAACCCCAACAAACGATCCCAAGGTCGAAACTCCAGAAGTCAAAACTCCAAAACCCCAAGGAACGATTCCAAGGTAGAAACTCAAAAAACCCAACGAACGATCCCAAGGTAGAAACTCCAAAACCCCAAGGAACGATCCCAAGATAGAAACTCCAGAAGTCAAAACTCCAACAAATGATCCCAAGGTAGAAACTCCAAAACCCAAAATTCTAATCAACAATCCCAAAAGAGAAACTCCAAAACCCCACCAAATGATCCCAAGGTAAAAACTCGAGAAGTCAAAACCCACTGAACGATCCCAGAGTAGAAACTCCAGAACCCAACGAACGATCCCAAGGTAGAAACTCCAAAACCCCAACGAACGATCCCAAGGTAGAAACTCCAAAACCCCAACAAACGATCCCAAGGTAGAAACTCCAAAACCCAACGAACGATCCCAAGGTAGAAACTCCAAAACCCAAAACACCAACGAACGATCCCAGGGTAGAAACTCCAAAACCCAACGAACGATCCCAAGGTAGAAACTCCAAAAGCCAAAATCCCAACGAGCTATTCCAAAGCCCAACCCCCAGAACCCCACGGAACGCCTCCAAACCCAACCTCCACCCCCCAGAACCTCACGGAACGAAAGATGGAATTTCAGGGTAAAACTGGGGGTTTGGGGGTGTGAAATGGGGGAAAAAATGGATTTTAGGGGGAAAAATAGGGATTGGGGGGGAAAATGGGGAGTTGGGGGGATGAAATGGGGGAAAAATGCGGTTTAGGGGGATAAAGATGGAATTTCAGGGGAAAAAATGGGAGTTTGGGGGGATGATCTTTATGGCTTAAAAAGGGAATTTTTAACCAAAACCAGATTTTTTTCAGCCCTAGAAAATCCAATTTTTTTGCCCAACCCATAAACCCTTCGCCCAGGTGCCCATCCCAGGTATGGAATTCCACCAGAACTGCCAATTTTTGGTGTTTTTTGCAGTCCAAGCTGGAGGGCCGGGAGTACCGCGACGCTCAGGAGTTCGCGGCCGACGTGCGGCTGATGTTCTCCAACTGCTACAAGTACAACCCCGCCGACCACGAGGTGGTGGCCATGGCCCGCAAGCTGCAGGTGAGAATCCCCAAACTTCCAGGAGAATTCCCAAAATTCCAGGAAAATTCCCTTTTTTTAAATTCCTTGCGGGATTTGTGTTTAAAAAAAAAAAAAAAAAAAAAAATTCAAAAATGCTGACTCAGCAAAAAAATTTTTAAATTGGTGTTTTTTTGTTGTTGAAGGAGTTGGAATTTGAATTTTGAATTCCCAACGTTCCAGGAAAATTCCTAAAATTACAGGAAAATTCCCTTTTTTTTTTTCCCAGCGGGATTTGTCCAAAAAAAAAAAAAAAATTTAAAGAATAAACAAAAAATGCTGACTCGGAAAAAAAAATTGGTGAGGTTTTTTTTGTTGTTGTTTTGGGGGGTTTTTTTGTTTGTTTGTTTGTTTTTCTTGTTGAAGTGAAGGGAATCAGAATTCACAACCTTCCAGGAAAATTCTCAATTTTCCAGGAAAAATCCCCCTTTTTTTTTTTTTTTCCCAGTGAGGTTTACAAAAAACCAAAAAATCTGAATGATTAAAAAATGCTGACTCTGCAAGAAAATTGCCCAAAAAAAATTGGGGTTTTTTGTTGCTGAAGTGAAGGAAATCAGAATTCCTAATGTTCCGGGAAAATTCTCAATGTTCTAGGAAAATTCTCTTCTTTTTTCCAGTAGGATTTACCCAAAAAAAAAAATCAGAATAATAAAAAATGCTGATTTGGCAAAAAAAAAAAAAAATTGGGAACTCCTTCAAAATTGAAGGAAACGAAGTGAAGGGAATCAGAATTCACAACCTTCCAGGAAAATTCTCAATTTTCCAGGAAAATTCCCCCTTTTTTTTTTTTTTTCCCAGTGAGGTTTACAAAAAACCAAAAAATCTGAATGATTAAAAAATGCTGACTCTGCAAGAAAATTGCCCAAAAAAAATTGGGGTTTTTTGTTGCTGAAGTGAAGGAAATCAGAATTCCTAATGTTCCGGGAAAATTCTCAATGTTCTAGGAAAATTCTCTTCTTTTTTCCAGTAGGATTTACCCAAAAAAAAAAATCAGAATAATAAAAAATGCTGATTTGGCAAAAAAAAAAAAAATTGGGAACTCCTTCAAAATTGAAGGAAACTCCTTCAGAAATGAGTGAAACCCTTCGAAAATGAGTGAAAATCCTTCAAAATCAGTGAAAACCCCCGGACTGGATGGAGAGGAGAGCGGGCTGTGAATCCATGGTGGAATCGAGGATGGAAAAGACCTCAAAAATTGTGGAGTCAACCAAAGATGAGCCAAGAAGATCTCAAGAACTTGGAAAACACAGGTTTTACATGAGAAATTGAGGAAATACTGTAAATTTTTCCCCTAAAACCATCTAGGAGATGGTTGAGATCTCCAGTGGGAATCTGTGGTGGAATTGAGGTTGGAAATGGCCTCAAAAATTATGGAGTCAACCAAAGATGATCCAAGAAAATCCAGAAGAACTCAAGAGTGTGAAAGAAGCAGCTTTTAAGTGAGAAACTGAGGAAATTCTATTAATTTTTCCCCCAAACCACCTTGGAGATAGTTGAGATGTCCAGTGGGAATCCATGGTGGAACCTCTTAAGATCATCAAATCAACTGAAGGTGGTCAAAGAAGATCCAGAAGATCTCAAGAACCTGAAAGTTGCAGCTTTTAAACAAGAAAGTAAATGAGTAAATCCCATAAATTTTCCCCTAAATCCACCTTGGAGAGAGTCAGAATTCCAAGGAACTCCCAAGATTTCAGGGTCCCTCGCCCCACCCCAGGTCCAGGTGTTGACCTTTGGTGTAGAACCCACCAGTCCGTAGGGTGCCCCCTTTGGAGACGCCGCGGTGCCGACCCCGGCGTCACTTCCGGCCCGTTCCCTGTGATTCCAGGACGTGTTCGAGATGCGCTTTGCCAAGATGCCGGACGAGCCGGAGGAGCCGGTGATCCCCGCCTCGTCCCCGGTGGTGGTCCCGCCCCCCACCAAGGTGGCCCCGCCCTCGTCCAGCGACAGCAGCAGCGACAGCTCCTCCGACAGCGACAGCTCCTCCGACGACTCCGAGGAGGAGCGGGCGCAGCGCTTGGCCGAGCTCCAGGAGCAGGTACGGGGTGGTCCAAGTGTCCTTCCAGTGGGGTTGGGTGGTCTTGGGGTCAGGGATGGAAGTCGTGGATGTCCCATGACCATCAGCTTCAGAGGCAACAAAATTGTTGGGTTTGCTGAGCTTAAACTGTTGGGTTTGTTGACCTGAAATCGTTGGGTTTGTCAGTCTGGAATTGTTGGGTTTGTGGACCTAAATTGTTGGTTTTGTCAACCCAGAATATTTGGGTTTGTAGACCCAAAGTTGTTGGGTTTGACTTGAAATTGTTGGTTTTGTTGACTCAGAATCATTAAGTTTGTTTGCTTAAATCGTTGGGTTTGTTGACCTGAAGTTGTTGGGTTGACTTAAAATGACTGGATTTGTTTACGTAAAATTTTTAAGTTGACCCAGAATTGTTGGGTTTGTTGACCCAAAGTTGTTGGGTTTTAACTGGAAATGGTTAGGTTTGTTGACCCAGGATCGTTGGCTTTGCTTCAAAACAGTTGTGTTTGTTGACCTAAAGTTGGGTTGGGTTGACCCAAAATTATTGGGTTTGTTGACCTGAAAGTGTTGAGTTAACCCAAAATTGTTTGGCCCAAATTTTTTGCGTTCGTTGACCTGAAATCAATGAGTTTGTTGGCCTGGAAGTGTTGGGTTGACCCAAAATCATTGGGTTTGTTGAGCCAGAACTCAGTGACCAGGTGTGGTCATTCATGGATTTGGCCTGATGACCTTGGAGGTCTTCATGGAACCGTTGGAGGTGACACTCAGCGGCTGGGTGGGGTCAGTCATGGGGTGGGTTTGATCACCCTGGAGGTGCCCATGGAATGTTTGGAGGTGACACTCGCTGACCAGGTGGGGTCATGGGTTGGGTTTGATGACCCAGAGGTGTCCATGGAAGGACTGGACACTGGACTGGCTAAGGTTGGGGTTAGTCCAAGTTGGGATCTGATGACCTTGGAGGTGTCCGTGGAACCATTGGAGGTGACACTCAGTGACTGGTTGGGGTCAGTCATGGGCTGAGTTTGATGACCTTGGAGATCTCCATGGAACCATTGGAGGTGACACTCAGTGACTAGGTGGGGTCATGGGTTGGGTTTGATGACCCTGGAGATCTCCATGGAATTTTTGGAGGTGACACTCAGTGACCGGTTGGGGTCAGTCATGGGCTGGGTTTGATGACCTTGGAGGTCTCCATGGAACCATTGGAGGTGACAACAACAGGTGGTGGGGTCAGTCAGAGGTCACATTGGATGACCCTGGAGGTCTCCATGGAACCCCTGGACGTTGATCTGGGTGACCAGGTGGGGTTGGTCAATCCCAGTTTGCCGTCAATGACCTTGGAGGTGACCAAGGCGTGGCCGGACGCTGCTCTGGCTGAGAAGCCTGGGCTCAGTCCGAGGTGGGACCTGACCTTCTGGAGAACTTCTCCAAGCTCCATCCCCCCGTTCCCGCAGCTCAAGGCCGTGCACGAGCAGCTGGCGGCGCTGTCCCAGCCCCAGCAGAACAAACCAAAGAAGAAGGAGAAGGACAAGAAGGAGAAGAAGAAGGAGAAGCACAAAAAGAAGGAGGAGCTGGAGGACGCCAAGAAGAGCAAGGCCAAGGAGCCGCCCCCCAAGAAGGCCAAGAAGAGCAACAGCAACAGCAGCGCCTCCAGGTGGGCCCTTCCCACAATTCCCTGGGGCAGTTTGGGGATTCCCCGGTGCTAATTAAGGTAATTACCGCGGGGTTCTTAACGAGGGACCTCGTGGCCCCAGGTGATGGGTGGGGTTGAGCTCAGCCTTGAGGTCAGCTCAGGGTTTGGAGCTGATTCTTCTCCGTGGCTGCTGGGGACACCTGGCTGGGCAGGTGGAGCTGGGTTTTGGGTGTGCAGGAGCAAATTAAGCTCAGCTTTGGGTGCCAGGCGTAAATTAAGCTCAGTTTTGGGTTTCTGAACAGCTTCAGCTCAGTTTTGGTTGTCCAGGAGCAAATTAAGCTCAGTTTTGGATGTCCAAAACCAGCTTGAGCTCAGTTTTGGTTGTCCAGGAGCAGGTGGAGTTCAGTCAAAACCATCTTGAGCTCACCTTGAGATCACCACACATTTTAAGCTCAGCTTTCCACCCCAAAGGCACAACCAACAAAGCCACTCGGTTTTAGGATAAAAACTAAACCTCCTCCAGCTCCTGTGGGTTAGAGCCAGGTTTAGGGAGGGTTTAGGTCAGATTTAGGGCAGGTTTAGGTCTAAAATGCCATTTTTTGGTCCTCTAAGCAGCAAGAAGGAGCCAGTGGCAAAGCTCTCCAGATCCTGTGTGTTAGGGTTGGATTTAGGTTGAGTTTAGGGCAGGTTTAGGTCCAGAATCCATTTTTTGGTTTTCTGAACAGCAAGAAGGAGTCAGCGGTGAAGCTCTGCAGCTCCTGTGGCTTAGGCTGGTTTTAAGTCTAAAACCCCATCTTTTGGTCATGCACACACCAAGAAGGAGCTGGTGGTGGTGAAGACCTCCAGATCCTGTGGGTTAGGGCTGGTTTACGTTTCAGCCCGGTTTTCTGGTGGTTTTAATCCCAAGGGTTGGGGTTTGGGGAAGTTTTGGAGGCGTTTTTGCCTCGCCAGGATGGTGGCGGGTGGGATTTAAAATGGGTCCCGTTTTTGTTTGTAATAATTAAAGATTTTATTTTAAAGCTTCAATATTTTAAATTCCTGAATGCATGTTTGCAACAAACCACTTGGGCTGAACCAGTTGAGTTTGGGACTAACCAGTTGAGTTTAGAGCCAACCAGTTGAGTTTGGTATGAACCAGTTGACTTTAGAACCAACCATTTGAGACAAACCAATTAGTTCAGAACCAACCAGTTGGGATTAGGACAAGCTAGTTGGGTTTAGAACCAACCAGTTGGGTTTGGGGTGAGCAGGTTGGGTTTAGGATGAACCAGTTGAGTTTAGAACCAACCACTTGAGTTTAGGATGAACCAATTGAGTTTGGGATGACCCATTTGAGTTTAGCACTCAACCACTTGGGTTTAGGATGTCCCAGTTGGGTTTAGAACCAGCCAGTTTGAGTTTAGAACAAATCACTTGGGTTTAGAACCAACCACTTGGGTTTAGGATGACCCAGTTGAGTTTAGAGCCAACCAGTTGAGTTCAGGATGACCCAGTTGAGTTCAGAACCAACCAGTTGAGTTCAGGATCAACCAGTTGAGTTCAGGATGACCCAGTTGAGTTTAGAACCAACCAGCTGAGTTCAGGATGACCCAGTTGAGTTCAGAACCAACCAGTTGAGTTCAGGATGACCCAGTTGAGTTTAGAACCAACCAGTTGAGTTCAGGATGACCCAGTTGAGTTCAGAACCAACCAGTTGAGTTCAGGATGACCCAGTTGAGTTCAGAACCAACCAGTTGAGTTCAGGATGACCCAGTTGAGTTCAGAACCAACCAGTTGAGTTCAGGATGACCCAGTTGAGTTCAGAACCAACCAGTTGAGTTCAGGATGACCCAGTTGAGTTCAGAACCAACCAGTTGAGTTCAGGATGACCCAGTTGAGTTCAGAACCAACCAGTTGAGTTCAGGATGACCCAGTTGAGTTCAGAACCAACCAGTTGAGTTCAGGATGACCCAGTTGAGTTCAGAACCAACCAGTTGAGTTCAGGATGACCCAGTTGAGTTCAGAACCAACCAGTTGAGTTCAGGATGACCCAGTTGAGTTCAGAACCAACCAGTTGAGTTCAGGATGACCCAGTTGAGTTCAGAACCAACCAGTTGAGTTCAGGATGACCCAGTTGAGTTCAGAACCAACCAGTTGAGTTCAGGATGACCCAGTTGAGTTCAGAACCAACCAGTTGAGTTCAGGATGACCCAGTTGAGTTCAGAACCAACCAGTTGAGTTCAGGATGACCCAGTTGAGTTCAGAACCAACCAGTTGAGTTCAGGATGACCCAGTTGAGTTCAGAACCAACCAGTTGAGTTCAGGATGACCCAGTTGAGTTCAGAACCAACCAGTTGAGTTCAGGATGACCCAGTTGAGTTCAGAACCAACCAGTTGAGTTCAGGATGACCCAGTTGAGTTCAGAACCAACCAGTTGAGTTCAGGATGACCCAGTTGAGTTCAGAACCAACCAGTTGAGTTCAGGATGACCCAGTTGAGTTCAGAACCAACCAGTTGAGTTCAGGATGACCCAGTTGAGTTCAGAACCAACCAGTTGAGTTCAGGATGACCCAGTTGAGTTCAGAACCAACCAGTTGAGTTCAGGATGACCCAGTTGAGTTCAGAACCAACCAGTTGAGTTCAGGATGACCCAGTTGAGTTCAGAACCAACCAGTAGGATGACCCAGTTGAGTTTAGAACCAACCAGCTGAGCTCAGGCTGCCCCAGTTGGGATGCCCCGGCTGACTTTAGGCCAGCCCCGTTGGGTTGAGTCGCTCAATCCCCGTTAACGCCCCGCGGTGACGCGCTCCCGTTGTTCCCGGCAGAGAAGCTCGACGTCCTGGCCGGCTCCTCCAAGCTCAAGGGATTCTCGTCGTCGGAGTCGGAATCCAGCAGCGAGTCGAGCTCCTCCGACAGCGACGAGTCGGACTCAGGTTAGCGCTTCCCGCCTCTCCCGACCTTTGCCGGACAAATAAACTCGATTTCATTCCTGCCTTCGCCGTCCATTCTTCTTTGGGGGAGCCTTGGCCGTTTCCTGACCCCTGCCGTGATTTTTTACATTTTTTATGGATTTTTTAAATCCCGGAGTGAGCGCCGTGGGAGGTTTGGGTTGGATGGGCTCGGTGGGGTTTTTTTGGGATGAGTGGGATTTATGGTGGAGCTGGTGGGAATGTTGTGTGGAGATGGAGGGGAGGGGTTTTTGGGGGGAAAAAAAGTGATTTTATGGGGGAAAAAATGGAGCAGATGGGATTTTATGGAGGAAATGGGATTTCATGGGGAAAAATTGGAGGAAATAGATTTTTATGGAAAAAATGGGATTTTTATGGAGAAAAATATGGAGAAAATAAGGTCGAGGAAAAGGGATTTTATGGAAAAAATGGGATTTTTGGAGGAAGAAAATGGAGCAGATGGAATTTTAAGGAGAAAAAAACATGGAGGAAAAGGGATTTTATGAAAAAAATGAGATTTTTGTGGAGAAAAAAAATGGAATAGATGGGATTTTATGGAGAAAAAAGATGGAAAGGGATTTTATGGATAAAAATGGGGTTTTATGGAGAGAAAAAAAGGTGGAGGAAATGGAATTTTATGGGAAAATGAAATTTTATGAAGAAAAACTTGAAGGAACAGGATTTTATGGATTAAAAAATTGGGAAAACGGGATCTTAAGGTTAAAAACATTGAGGGAATGGGATGTAATGGATTAAAAAAACAGGGAAAATGAGATTTTAGGGCTAAATCATGGAGGAAATGGGGTTTTAGGGATAAATCCCTTTTTCTTTTCTGGCACTGGGTGGATCTGGGATCTGGAGGAAAAAATGAATTTTGAGGAAATTTGGAATTCCAAGTCCCTGGCGTCACTCCCTGCGCCTCCCTTGGGATGAAATTTTGATTTTTCCTGGTTATTATCCCAAATTTTCCTAATTCCCAGCTTTCCTCGCACCCATCCCTGCTGTGGGTTTAGGGATTTGTTCCCATCCCAAAATCTGAGGTTGAGCCAGGCTTAACTCCAGGAAGTGGGAAGGGTTTGGTGGCTCCAGTGTTGGAAAATCCCGTGGAAATATTCGGGATTGAATTCCAGTGTGAGTCGAGTGTGGAAAGGAAGCGGAAATCCAAAAATATTCCCCAAACAAAGAGAAAAAAATCCCAAAAAATTCCCCAAAAAATACAGGATTGAGCCAGATCTGGGGGTGATCCCCAGCAATTTTCCAGGATTAATCTGGAATTTGGAAATTTTGAACATTTTCATGATTTTTTTAAAACAATTTTAAGGAGTTTTCCATAAATTTTGCGGTTTTGTTGGAGTTTTCCATAAATTTTTGGAGATATTCTTGGAATTTTTAGGCCTGAGTTAGGAATGGGATTGGTGCTGAATTCTTCCCTGGATTTATCCTTTAAATCCTATTTTTATCAGGTTTTTCCTGATTTTTTGCTTGATTTTCCATCAAATCCACCAAAACTAACAAGATTGGGCTCATCCCAAATCGAGACCTTCAATTTTTCCAAAAAAAGTGGTGGTTGGAAGCAGAAAAACCTGGAAAATTTCATTTGTTGGGATGAATTTGACTCCAAACCACCAAATCCGGATTTTTTTTCCTAGAAACTTTGATCTGCCTCAAATATTTTCCCCAATTCTGTTGATTTTTATGTTCCTTTTCCCAAGATTTCTCAGCCTTGGAAGCACCAGTTCCTCACTCCCTCAAACACTTGGATCCGTTGGATGTTTGGGAATTATAAAAGCGATAAAAGGACTCCAAAAATTCGCTTTTTTCACGGAATTTCACCCCAGGATGTGGGAATTTGGATCCGTCCGTCGGCGTTTTGCTGTTTGGGTGGGAATAAAATCAGGATTTTGGGGAAAATTTGGGAAAAAAATTCCATAAATTCAACATTTCTGTCCCAAAATCACCTGGAAGTGACTTTTCCATCAATGCTGGATTTTATCCTCGTGGATTCGGGGTTGAAGGTTCATCCATGGGTTGAGTTGGCATCTCCAAAACCTGGGATGATCCTTCTGGGAGCGCGATTCCGACTCAGATCCGATGGTCAGGGAGGAAGTTTGGGATCATCCTTGGGCTGAAGTCCTTGGAATCTCCTCTGGACCAGAAAATTCCAACTGGGACCCAAAATCGGTGACGGAGTTTGGGATCATCCTTGGGTTGGGATCTCCAAAATCCAGGAGGATCCTTCTGGACTAGAAAATTCCAGTTGGTGATGAAGGTTGGAATCATCTTTGAGTTGGGATCTCCAAAACCAGGATGATCCTTCTGGGAATGCGATTCCAACTGGGACTCAAGAACTGGTGATGGAAGTTGGGATCATCCTTGGGTTGGGATCTCCAGGTGATCTCCATGGAACCTCACAATTGCAACTGGGACCCAAAATCGGTGATGGAGTTTGGGATCATCCTTGGGTTGGGATCCCTGGAATTTTCTTTTGGACCTCGTGATTCCAACTGGGACCCAGTGGCTGGGCATGAAGGTTGGAATCATCCTTGGGATCTCCAAAATCCAGGAGGATCCTTCTGGGAATGCGATTCCGACTGGGACCAACAACCAGCAGAGGAATTTGGGATCATCTTTGGGTTGAAATCCTTGGAATCTTCTTCTGCACGTCGTCATTCCGACTTGGATCATCCAGCAGTTGGTGATGAAGGTTGGGATCATCTTTCAGTTGGGATCCCCAAAATCCAGGATGATCCTTGTGGGAATGTGATTCCCGCTGGGACCAACAACTGGTGATGGAATTTGGGATCATCTTTGGGTTGAAATCCTTGGAATTTCATTTTAGACCTCGCGATTCTGACTGCGATCCAACACTGGCGATGGAATTTGGGATCATCCTTGGGTTGAAATCCTTGGAATCTTCTTCTGCATGTCATGATTCCGACTTGGATCAACAGTTGGCCATGAAGGTTGGGATCGTCTTTGAGTTGGGATCTCCAAAATCCAGGATGATCCTTCTGGACCTCGTGATTCCGACTGGGACCCACAACCAGCAGTGGAATTTGGGATCATCTTTGGGTTGAAATCCTTGGAATCTTCTGGGAACGCTGAGCCTCCAGCTGGGATCCAACGACCGGCGATGGAATTTTCCAAGGTTCTCCCTCTGGAGCAGTGACATTCCTGGGACATCTGATCCTGTGGAATCCATGAATTTTCTTGGCCGTTGGATCTTTTTCCGACAATTTCCGTTCTTTTTTTTGGCGGCAAAATCCCCGATCCCCAATCCCAGAAATCCCTGGGGGATTCCAGCTCCATCCCTGGGGAACTCCAGCCCCGTTCCCGATCGGTGCCATCGGGTTTGTCCGGAGCCGTTCCCAAATTAATTTCTTTTCTTTTCCCCTTGTTTTGGCAGAAATGGCGCCAAAATTGAAGAAAAAAGGGCACTCGGGACGGGAGCAGAAAAAGGTAGGAATGGGAATGGGATTGGGATTGGGATTGGATCCGTGGGATTGGATTGATGGATTTGATTGGGCTGGGTTGGGATCCATGGACTGAGGTGGGGTTGGATCCATGGATTGGAGTTGGGATGGGATCAGTCATTTTGATGACCAAAAGCCATTTTTGATGACGCAGAAGAACATTTTGGTGACCAAAACCACATTGAGGTGACCTCGGAGATCATTTTGATGACCAAAAAAGTCCTTTTGATGACCCAGGAGTTAATTTTGAGGCCTAAAATGTATTTTAGTAACCCGAGAGATCGTTTTGGTGACCAAAAAGTCATTAAGATGACCCACAAGGGACTGAGATGACCCAAGAGAGCATTTCAGTGACCAAAACTGCATTTTGATGGCCAAGGAACACATTTCAATGACTAGAAAACCATTTTGTTGACCAAAAAATTAGTTTGATTATGAAGTTGGGCATTTTGATGACCTAGGACAGCATTCATGTGACCAGAAAGCCATTTTGGTGACCCATGAGGTCATTTTGGTGTCCAAAACCACGTTTAGATGACACAAGAGGTCATGTTGACAACCAAAAGACCATTTTGGTGTCCAAAACCACATTTAGATGACCCAAGAGGTTGTTTCACTGACCCAAAGAACATTTTGGTGTCCAAAACCACATTTAGATGACCCAAGAGATCATTTTGGCAACCAAAAGACCATTTTGGTGTCCAAAACCACATTTAGATGACCCAAGAGGTCGTTTCACTGACCTGAAGAATATTTTGGCATTCAAAACCACATTTAGATGACCCAAGAGGTTGTTTCACTGGCCCAAAGAACATTTTGGTGTCCAAAACCACATTTAGATGACCCAAGAGGTCATTTTGACAACCACAAGACCATTTTGGTGTCCAAAACCACATTTAGATGACCCAAGAAGTCATTTCGATTACCAAAAAACCATTTTTATATCCAAAACCACCTTTAGATGACCCAAGAGCTCATTTTGACCAGATGGGCGGGTCGTGGTGTCCACCGTGGTCTTGGTGGGATGTGCCAGGAGGAGGAGGATGGTGGTGGGTGGGGAAGAGGGAGGTTCTTCATTCTTGGTGTCCACCACGGTCTTGGTGGGATGTGCCAAGAGGAAGAGGATGGTGGTGGGTGGGGAAAAGGGAGGTTCTTAGATCTTGGTGTCCACCGTGGTCTTGTGGGAATGTCCCACGAGGAAGAGGATGGTGGTGGGTAGGGTTGGGGTCTTCTGGAAGAGGGTGGATGGGGAAGAGGGAGGTTCTTGGGTCTTGGTGTCCACCATGGTTTTATTGGGATGTCTCAATATTGAAGAGGAAGAGGGTGGTGGTGGGTGGGAGTAAAGGGAGGGTCTTGGGTTTTGGTGTCCACCGTGGTCTTGTGGGAATGTCCCACGAGGAAGAAGATGGTGGTGGATGGGGAAAAGGGAGGTTCTTGGGTCTTGCTGTTCACCATGGTCTTATTGGGATGTCTCAATATTGAAGAGGAGGATGGTGGTGGGTGGGAGAAAGGGAGGGTCTTGGGTTTTGGTGCCCACTGTGGTCTTGTGGGAACATCCCAACATCCCAGAGGAAGAGGATGGTGGTGGGTGGGGTTGGGGTCTTCTGGAAGAGGGTGGATGGGGAAGAGGGAGGTTCTTCACTCTTGGTGTCCACCATGGTCTTGTGGGAACGTCCCACGAGGAAGAAGATGGTGGTAGATGGGGAAGAGGGAGGTTCTTGGGTCTTGGTGTCCACTGTGGTCTTGTGGGAGGTGCCGCCGCCGGTGCCGCCGCCGGTGCCGCCGCCGCCGCACCACAACCTCCCCCTGAGCACCAGCCAGATGCAGCTGTACCTGCAGCAGCTGCAGAAAGTGCAGCCGCAGACTCCGCTTCTCCCTTCAGTGAAGGTCCAGTCGCAGCCGGCGCCGCAGCCGCAGCCGCCGCCGCCTCCCCCGGCGCTGCCGCCGCCGCCGGCGCATCCCGCGGTGCAG